CAGAGTTCAGAAGAGCCCACCTAGAGCCAGAACAAACTTCAAAGACAAATATGACCTCTGCAAAGAGATCCGTCCATGGAGAAGTTTATTCCCAAGGGCATCATAGAAAATAAAAAATAAAGTGATAAGCTGGTGATGCACAGAGGCTAAAAGCTAGGTATTACACCAACAGAGGCAGGCTGTTTAATAGATCAGGGAAAGTGACAGTGAAAGAGGATCCTGCTTAAACCACTGCTATCTCAAAATGATGGCATGCAAGCCCAAAGCTGCGCCCTGCAGCGGTCATTTCAGAGGCTTCATGTTGAGAGGGGGAAGACTGCTAAAATAGCCCTTCCAATTCACTGAACAAATCAACAAGCAAACCACAAAAACAAGTCCCAGAGAGAGGGGGGCAGGAAAATAAGAATCCAGAATTGCTAAAACAAGTTACCTAAAAAAAAATCCAGTTTTTAACAAAGCATTATGAGATATGTAAATAAACAGGAAATGATAACCCATAATCAGGAAAAAAGAAATCAAGCAAGAGCAGCTGCTTGTGAAATGGCCCATACATTCGTTTGTCCCCCTTATATTATTTTTCCCCTTCCCCTCACTTCCTCTTGTATGTACTTTTGGATAACTCTGAGGGTCTCCTTCCATTTCCATGCATTTTCCCTTCTCTCTCCCTTTCCCTCCCACCTCTCATCCCTGTTTAATGTTAATCTTCTTCTCATGCTCTTCGACCCTACTCTGTTCTTAGTTACTCGCCTTATATCAAAGAAGACATTTGGCATTTGTTTTTTAGGGATTGGCTAGCTTCACTTAGCATAATCTGCTCTAATGCCATCCATTTCCCTGTAAATTCTATGATTTTGTCATTTTTTAATGCAGAGTAATACTCCATTGTGTATAAATGCCACATTTTTTTTTTATCCATTCATCCATTGAAGGGCATCTAGGTTGGTTCCACAGTCTAGCTATTGTGAATTGTAGAGGGAGCAGAGAGAGAAGAGGGGAGGGGAGGGGAGGGGAGGGGAGGGGAGGGGGATAGTAGAGGATAGGAAAGGCAGCAGAATACAACAGACACTAGTATGGCAATATGTAAATCAATGGATGTGTAACTGATGTGATTCTGCAATCTGTATATGGGGTAAAAATGGGAGCTCATAACCCACTTGAATCAAATTGTGAAATATGATATATCAAGAACTATGTAATGTTTTGAACAGCCAACAATAAAAAAAAAATGACCTATTTCATCACAAAAAAAAAAAAAAGAAATGGCCCATACATCAGAGATAACAGACCAAGATAAATAGCCATTGTAAGTATATTCAAAGAACTAAAGGAATGCTAAAAGTAAAAATAGATAACATGTCATCAAACAGGAAATATCAATAAAGAGAAATTCTTCTAGAAACTAATCGGGAGCTGGTAGTGTAGCTCAGTCATGGAGTGCTTGCCTAGCTTTTACAAAGCCCTGGGTTGGATTCCAATCACCAAAAAAATTCATTACAAGAGCTCAACAGTGTATTTGAACTTACAGAGGAAAGAATCAGAAAACTGATGACAAACAGTAGAGATTAGGTAATACAAGGAATAGAGGGGGAAAGGAATGAAAAAAAAAAAGAATAGAGCCCCAAAAGAAAAGAACAGAAAGAATGAAAGGAAAGAAAAAGAGAGGGGAGACCACTGGACACCTCAATTTACACAAAGAAAAGCTCAGGCCAAACATAATGAGAATATCATAAAGACATGTAAAAGAAATGAATGAGAAAAATTCTAAAGATATGGTGACTGAAAACTTATCAGTTTTGATAAACAAGATTAATTTATTCATTTCAGAAGCTCAACAAACTCCAAGTAAGATAAATATATCAACCCTCAGGTACATTGTACAAAAAATACACAAAGACAAGGAAAAATTTGAAAGAAATTAGAGATAAATAACTCACCACACACAAAGGAACCCCAATCAGATTAACAACTTACTTCTCATTAGAAATAATGAGTGCAAGAAGGCAGTAAAGAAGAAAACTTGTCAGCTAAGAATTTTATATCCAAAAACAAAAATGAAAATAATCTTTCAAAATTGTCCAGATGCAGTGGTGCATGCCTGCAATCCCAGCAGCTTGGGTGGCTGAGACAGGAGGATCATGCATTCAAAGCCAGACTCAGCAACTTAGTGAAGCCCTAAGCAACTCAGTAAAACCCTGTCTCTAAATTAAAAAAAAAAAAAAAAAAGTAAAATAAAGACATTGCCCAACAAACAAAAACTTAGAGAATTTGTTGCTAGAATCCCTGCCTTATAAGAATTAATAATTAAGGTTCTTCAGGCTAGAAGCTACTTCATGCCATAATCTGAATCCTCACAAAACAAAAACAGAACAAATGAACGAGTGAGAGAACATAAGAATAATATTTCAATGCCTCACTGGAGTTAAGTTACCATAAATCTGAAATACATTCTGATAATGTGATTTTGGTAAGACCTAGAATAACCACCAAGAAAACAACTAAAAAAATAGAGTGAAAAAATTATCAAAGGAATTAAAATATTACACTAGGAAATATTCAAATCCAAAAGAAAGCATTAAAGGAGGACTAGAGAAACAAAAGTCATGAAACAAATGGAAAATTAAAGTCAAACAGTGTATGTATATCTTTATGCAGTAATAACAGACTGCAGAAAAATCAGTTTCCAAGCCGGGCACAATGGCACACGTCTCCAATCCCAGGAAATCTAGAGGACAAGAGGGTTGCACGTTCAAGGCCAGCCTCAGCAGTTTAGCAAGGCCCTCAGCAACTTAGTGAGACCCAGTCTCAAAATAAGATAAATAAATAAATAGAAAGGGCTGGGGATGTAGCTCAGTAGTAAAGCACCCCTGGGTTAAATCCTGGGTATAAAATAAACAAATAAATAAATTTCCAACTATATATTATCTACAGGAGTAGATATATTAGATAGCCTGTTGATATATATAGTAGATATATAGAGATATAGATAGCAACTGTAAGAAAGCTGAAGTGGCTATTCAAATATCAAAATGGACTTTAACCCAAGAAGCAAACTGTTGCTAGAGATAGAGGACTATTTTATAAAAAAAAAAATAGAGCCAATCTATCAGAAACATGTAACAGTCATAAACATACATGCACTAACAACAGAGCCCCAAAATATAGGAAACAAAAACTGACATAATTGAAAGAAAGCAATAACTCAACAATAAAAGTTGAAGACATCAATACTTCACTTTCAAGAATGGATAGAATGAGGCAGAAGTACAATAAGGAAACAGAAGTTTTTGAATAACATTAGAAACCAACTAGACCAAGCAAACATCTATAGTACTCTTTTCCCAACAATAGCAGAATACATTCTTCTCAAGTACACACAAAGCCTTCTGCAGAGGACAATCTACTAGGCCATCAAGAAAAACTTGTTAAAATTTTAAAAAATTGAAAGCATACAAAGTGTATTTTCTGACCACACTGAAATGAAATTAGAAATAAATAACAGAAAGAAGCTTAGGAAATTTATAAACTTGTATAATTAAGTGACATACTCCTAAATAACAAATGTGCTAAAGAAGAAATCACCAGGGAAATTAGAAACTGCTTTGAGATGAGTGAAAACAGAGAAAAATCAAATTAAAAGTTGACTTTTTAAAAAGACCAACAGAATTAGCAAACTTTTTAGACAACCAAAAAAAAAAAAAAAAAAGAGAGAGAGAGAGATTTACTAAAATGTGTGAAGTCAGGAAAGAAAGAGGGGATGTTACTATATACCTTACAGAAATATAAAGGATCACAAAGAAATATTAGGAACAATTAGTTGCTAGAAACTCAGCTAACTTAGATGACATGGACAACTTCCTGTAAGAAAAAAAACTACCAAAAAGGACTCAGGAAGAAATAGAAAATCTGATTAGACAAATAGAAATTAAAGACATTCAATTAGTAGCAACAGCAGCAGTAATAGTAACTACCCACAAAGAAAAGCTCAAGCCAAACATTTAAAGAATTAACACCAATTATTCCCAAATGCTTCTAAAAATATAGAAGAATGAACAATTCCAATTCATCTTATGAAACTAGTATTACTCTGATTTGAAAATTAGACAACATCATAAGAAAAAATAGCTATAGACCAACATCTCTTGTGAATGTAGATGTAAAAAATCCTTAACAAAAGACCATCAAGCCAAATTCATTACATATATAAAAGGATTGTACACTATGACAAAATAGAATTTATCCTAACAAGGCAAGTTTGGTCTAACATCTGAAAAACCAAGTTTATATATCATATGGGTAGAATAAAGGACAAAAACTCAGGATCATCTCAATAGACAAAGTTCCACTCTTCTCATGATAAAACATTCAATAAACTTGATTAGAACAAATTTTAGCTCAATAAAGCTATTATTTGAGAACTCCACAGTTGACATCACATTTATGGAGAACAACCAATTAATTTCCCTTTAAGATTAGGAACAAGATGAGCATGTTCACTCTTGTTACACTATTCAACAACATACTGGAGGTTCTAACCAGGGAAATTAGAGAAGAAAATGAAAAGAAAGTCATCTCAATTTGAAAGGAAGAAGTAAAACTATAAAAAGACATAAGAACAAGGGATGCTAAGGATGTGAAAAAATTGGAAACCTCATACACTGCTGACAGAAATGTTAAATGGTGTAGCCACTTTGGAAAGCAGTGTGGAAGTTCTTCAAAAAGTTAAACCCAGTTACCATCGGACCCAGCAATTCTACTCATCAGAAATGAACATATATGTTCACAAAAACTTGTACATAATGTTCTTTGTAGCCTTTTTATAATAGCCAAAATAATGGAAATGAATTACATGTCCAAAAACTGATGCCTAAACAAAAGTTTTGATTTCACACTATAAAATATTATTCGACAATAAAAATAAATGAAGTGCTGATATATACTATAATACAAATAAACCTTGAAAATGTTTTGCTAAGAGAATGAAGCCAGTCACAAAAAAACCATATTGTACAATTTCATTTATATGAGATATCAAGTACAGGCAAAATTGTAGAGATAAAAAGCAGATTCATGGTTGCTTAGGGCTGGGGAGGGCACAGGTGGAGAGTAGTTGAGGGATGATGGCTCAGGGTACAAATTTTCTTTTGGAAACAATGAAAAAGTTCTAAATATTGATTGTAGTGAATGTTGCACAACTCTGTAGGTATACTAAATGCTGTCAAGTAGTACCATTATAAATGGGTAAACTGTATAGTGTATGAATTATATCTCAATAAAGTTGTTGTTAAATAAAAACAACTCTAAGCCCTGTGGACAGTCAAAGCTTTTTATTTTATTTATTGTTTGGCGGGGCAGGTACCAGGGATTGAACTCAGAGACACTTAACCACTGAGCCACATCCCCAGCCCAATTTTTGTATTTTATTTAGAGACACGGTCTCACTGAGTTACTTAGTGCCTTGCCTTTGCTGAGTCTGGCTTTGAACTCGCGATCCTCCTGTTTCGGTCTCCCGGTCTCCTGAGCTGCTGGGATTACAGGCGTGTGCACCCAGCCAGTCAAAGCTTTTTAAAGAATTATTCATGACTTTCTTGTAGATGGGGTAGAGAGACAGGAGGATAGGACATCACAGAAGAGTAGGTCATTTCCAAGGATGCCTCAGGCATCCTGAATTTTGGGATGCTCTTTGCCAATTTCTTGATTTTAGGGGTCTTTCCCAGCCTTCTGCACGGGCTGTCATGTCTGTTGGGCTATCTCCCTAAGGACTCTTTTCCCTTCCTGTCTGCAGCAAACCAAATTCCTCCCCAGTTTCTCTGGGGCAGAACTATTAAAAGCCAAACATATAAGATACCTCTTAAAAGGACAAATACATCCCCCAAGAGGAATTCTATTGTCAGCTCTTGAGGCACTAATGCAGCTTTTTTTCTTTCTCTGTTCTTTTCCTTTCTCTCCTTCCTTCCTTTCCTCCTCATCCACCCCCCCTCCCCTTTTAGGAGCAAGACTAGCATAAGGAACTTCATGCATCCATCACTTGCACCTTCAACAATTACCAAATTTTCTTGTCAATCTTTTTCACTTAAGATAATTCATCTTTGTTACTTCTCTCTTGGGGGCTTTTAAAATAAAAATTCAGGGCTGGGGGTGTGGCTCAGTGGTAGAACTGCTGCTTAGCATGCCCAAGGGCCTGGGTTAGGTCTCCAGCAGCAGCATCACGATCACAGAAAAAAAAAATCATTTAAAATAAAAATATAGTAGGACATGGGCTTTCCTTTGTGGTCTTTCCCAGTGCTGAAGTCTAGGAAGACAGAGTTTGGGGGGCCCCCATAGCCTGTAGGGGTCTGAAGGTGGACGCGGAAGTGGTGAGTTCAGGTATTGCGGGCAGCGGGGGAACGTCGGAGAGGGAGATGGCGGGAGGCAGATGGCGAATGGGGAAAGGTGGCCAACCACGGGCACGTAAGACAGGGGTAACCGGACCGTGCAGCTGCGCCAGGCTCCGTCCGGGCTAGAGCGCAGTGTCGGACACCGTGTCCTGCGGCGCCCCCTCGCGGGAGTAGAACTCGTCGATCACGTTCTGCGGGATGCGCTTCAGCATCTCCTTGGGGAAGATGCGCAGCAGTTTCCAGCCCAGGTCTAGCGACTCGAACACCGATCGGTTCTCGTAGGGTCCTAGGGACCGAGCAGGAGCGTGAGGGCTGTGTGTACGGGGCGGAAGGAGGGTGGAGAGGTTCTGCTTCCGCGCCCGCCAAGCGCCTCACCCTGGTTGATGAAGTTCTTCTCGAACTTCTGCAGGAATTCCAGGTACAGCAGGTCCTCGGAGGTGAGCGCCTCCTCCCCCACCACTGCCTTCATGGCCTGCACGTCCTTCCCGATGGCGTAGCAGGCGTACTGGAGGAGGAAGCAGAGGCGGTGGCGGCTTCGCGGACTTCCCACCAAAGTCCCGATGGCCCCAAACCTGGCTGCCCTTGGGATTCCCCTTTTTGCGAAGGAATTTTACCAGGGGAAAAGCCTGTCGGTCCAGATGGAGCTCAAATCTCCAGTTTCTGAAACTAGATTACCCAACAGCCCCTGGCCCTCTCCTTCTTACCAACTGGTTGGAGACATCCCCGTGGTCCTTTCTCGTCATGCCCTCCCCGATGGCGGACTTCATCAGTCGCGACAGGGAAGGGAGCACGTTGATGGGGGGGTAGATCTGGGGGAGCAGAGGAGGCGACTGGCAGACAGCAGAGCCCACCCCACCCCACCCAAGCTGCTTGTCTCATCTCCCCCTATTTAGGAGACTCGTCCTCATTCATCCACAGAGAAGTCAGTGGTCACACCCTGACACTCTTATGTCGTATATATTGTAGGGCAGGTGACTACACAAGTGGTTTTAGACAGGTCGGTGAGGGAGGAAGATGATGTGACCTTAAGTTCATAAAAAGCCCATTATTCACATTCTATTTGTATCAGACACCTGGTGTTTTTACTCAGCAAAGCAAAAAACTGGAAAGGGAAAATAATTGGTATTTATTTATTGTCTACTATCTGCCAGATACTTCTCATATGCTGACTTGTTTTATGCTTCTCAATGCATCAGTGTAATGAGTATTATTATTCCCATATCACAGAAGAGAAGACCTGGGGCTGGGGATATAACTCAGTGGTAGGATACTTACCTAGCATGCAGGAGACCCTGGGTTCAATCCCTGGTGAAGTCCTGTTCAGGGTTTCCAGCTTTTCTCTGCCCTCCCCACTCTTGCCCAGTACACCCAGACTCTGAAGGGATTATTTTCTCAAGTTCCCACAGCCAGGTAGACTGGATTCTACCCAGGCTGTGGCCCACACAGGCCTCCCTGGGTGCATGTCTCCTGATTGGGTCGGCTTCGTTCATTCAGAGGAGGTAGTGGACATCTGTTCTTCCAGGTCTTTTGGAGTGAGAGCCAAAGTGGGGAGGGAGGCAGCAAGTACCTGTCTATTATGCAGCTGTCTGTCCACATAGATCTGTCCTTCTGTGATGAAGCCTGTCAGGTCTGGGATGGGGTGGGTGATATCTACAAGAAAATGCATTGGTCTCAGTGTGGCTGGGGGTGTGGTCTCCACCCACCCAGGGGTCACCCAGGTTCTGTTTCCCTCATGAGAGTGAGGGGGTAGAGATGGATGTGTAGGAAAGGATCAGCCCTGATGGAGGAGCGAGTTACTGCACATCTGTGCAAAGCAGCATGGGATTTGTAAGAGTCCAGGTGGGAAAGGGAGGAAGGGGAACTCTGGGGGCTTGAGGAGGCTACCATCATTGGGCATGGTGAGGATGGGGATCTGTGTGATGGATCCACCCCGGCCCTCCACACGGCCTGCTCGCTCATAAATGGTGGCCAGGTCTGTGTACATGTATCCAGGGAAACCTCTGCGCCCAGGCACTTCCTCTCTGGCAGCTGAGACCTGCAAGATCCATGGATGTTGGGATAAGAAAGAAGGCAGGGGCTGAAACAAGGAAGATGGGTAGAAGCTTCAGTGACTTTGTGAGGAATGGAATGGAAGGTGGGAGAGAAAAGGCCAGGCTGCAGTTGAGCCCTGGGGCACACATGAGGACGGCAGGCCTGGGTTGACGAGTTCCCTTCTTACTTTTAGGATGATCCCTTGATTCCAAGAGGTCAAGCCTAGGGCAAGGCAGGGATGATTCTGACACCCCTTGATGGTCAGCTTACCTCTCTCAAGGCCTCCGCGTAGGAACTCATGTCAGTCAGTATGACCAGCACGTGCTTCTCACACTGGTAGGCGAGGAACTCAGCAGTGGTCAGTGCCAGACGTGGGGTGATAATCCGCTCAATCCTGGAGGCAGGCATGGTTGGTATTTAGAGAGCCTGAAGGCCCAGGCCTGTGCCCCACATACCCCAGGGCTGAGTACAAGGTACAGAGGGAAGCTGGCTTGTGTACAGTAGCTGGGCAAGGATAAGATGAGCCCCTACCCCAGCCCCCAGGTCAGGTCCATATTCCTGGGAGCGAGCACTTGCCACCAAGTCCTCACCCCTTCACCTGCTATCCATGGGAGGGGAGGAGACAGAGGCCGAGACCAGGAGGGTGGGTAGGTAGGAGACTCCAAGCAGGGGTGAGTGTTGGGTGAGTAAGACAGCAGACTTGTCTGCTGTGGTCTGAAGGTGAAGGGCTCTGAGGTATCTCCCATGGGTGAGGTGGGGGCACAAGTGCCTGCTCTAGCTCCTTCTCACTCCAGGGCACCTGCTTTGTGTCTTAGATAGAGCACTTGCTTTGTGTCCTCAGGATTGTCACTTTACTCATTGTGCCTCTCCTGTCCCTGAGCACACTGGTGTGCGTGGTCCACACACTGCCTACCCTTCCCACTTGGAGCACTTCTCAGTACCCTTATGCTGGGTACCTCTTGGTAATGTCATCACAGCCTTTTGTTCCTTAGTTTGGGGACCCCCCCCCTCAACACCCAGGATATCTTATGAGAATTTTTTTTAATCCACTTGATCCCATATTTTAAGTCTTATTTTCTAAACCTTCAAAATAGCAATCCCCCCCAAAAAAGGAGAGACAATTTCTTTAGTAGTGACTGTGGAAGTGACTCAAGGGTGAAGGGCCGTGACTTAGGATAGTGGCTGGTTGCAGGCTGTGGGAAGAGCAGAGGGACTGCAGGTGGCAGGTGGGGTCCTAGCTGGCTCCCAGGGACTCTTGGTGGGCTATCCCTAGCTCTTCCCAGGCCTCAGTTTCTCCAACTGCGCCTCCAGGGGTTATTTTCCTAGCTCGGTCCCATGACTGTGGTTCTGGAATGCCCTGAGCCCTGCTGGTATCCTGAGTATTAGAAGGAAACATGGTCTTCTCCCTGGACATGGGGAGGGCTCACGTGGGGTCGTTGGCCAAGTTCAGGAAGAGGCAGACGTTCCCCATGCTTCCATTCTGCTCAAAGTCGGACTTGAAGAACCTGGCTGTCTCCATGTTCACCTGGACATAGAGCAGGGAGGGCTGCAGCCTGAGAGCAGCGCCTGGCCCCTCCTTTCTGAGGAAAGCCTGTGAACTGACTGGTTAACAGTTGCTGGGGGTAAAGGTGCCATAGTCACAGGGGTGGCCCTGGGGCTTGAGAGGGCCTCATCAGATACCCTTCCAGAGAATTTCAAACTTCTTCAGGAGCTCAATGCCATCCTGCCCCTCTCTTGGCCAGCTGCCCTGCCCAACTCCCTTTCCTCCCCTTGGGCCCCCTGAGGGCTCCCTGATATCCCCTTCCTGAGCTGTCTTGTCTCCCTGAGTTCCCTGGCTTCCTTCTCCAAGCCACTCTGGGCCATCTTAGAGCTGCTGTGGCCTTCAAGATGTCTGAAGGGACACACTGCTCTGGTCACTGAGCCCACCTTCACCCCTTGAGTCACACTCTTGCCTTTCCCACCAGACTGGCCCAGACTCTGACAGCTTCTCAAGAAGAGGGATTGTGCCTCCCCCAGAAGATTAAGTTGTTTCAGAGACCAATGGATCCAGGGCTGCCTGTTCACAGCTTCTAACTGACAAATCTGCCCCGCCTCTCTTACCCCCATGGCTGCAAAGACGATGGCGAAGTTGTCATCATCATAATCCAGCACTGCCTTGGATTTCTTCACCAGCCCAGCCTGGCGGCAGATCTGGGCAGCAATCTGAGGCAGAATGGGTTGGGAGGGGAGGGAGGCTGTCAGGGCCAGAGCCCAGCACCTGCCCCCCCCCCCCCGGCACCACTAAGGAGGATGGATGGAGAGGTTTTTCAATCTGTCCTCCCGTCAGGGCCTTGCCAGCAAGTGTCCAAGCCCAGAGAGGTGAAGGCTCTGCCCTGGGTCCTACAGCTTTCTTGGGGAGGGGGGCTATTCTGTGACTACTAGAGAACTGAGAGAGCCTGTCGTGAGGAGCAGGACAGACAGAGTAATGAACAGTTCCAAAGAGCAACAGCCTTAGCATGGGTTTGAACCACTTGTCTGAAGGAAGTTGGGCCTTTCAGAGCCCCTAGACCCCCCCTCAGCCTGCTGGAATTATCTGGGCACAGAGTTGCCCCAGGTCTTCAATATGTGGGGCTATTGGGTCCTAACTCTCAAACCAGGGTGTGTGTGTGTGTGTGTGTGTGTGTGTGTGTGTCTGTAAGAGTGAGGGCATTTATGTTGTCTGATCACCAGATCATTTTGAGGGTAAACTGAGGCACATTCAGGAATTCAGGAAGGGTGGGGGAAAATGTCTAGAAACCTTGTCACACCAACTACTCTGGGAGAACTGGCTGTTCATACCTGGTGGTGGCAGTGAAGTAGGTGTGATCTGGGAAAGACTAGTACAAGGACAAGCAGGCAGAGGCTGGGAGCTCAGCCAGGCAGGGCTTTCCACACTGGGAGCTACAAGTGGGCTCTTTCAAGCAGTGAGGGCCGCTCTGACTCAGGGCAGCCTTGAAGACCTGCTTGGGGCCCACTGGTCTTCAAGGCTGCTGCTGCCTCTGCAGGCCTCACCTCATTGTGGGGGAGCCCGGCTGCTGAGAAGATGGGGATCTTCTGACCACGGGCAATGCTGTTCATGACGTCAATGGGAGAAATGCCCGTCTGAATCATCTCCTCAGGGTAGATGCGGTCATGGGGGTTGATGGGCTGGCCTGGGAGGGAACAGGGTTATCAGCTTTTGCCCTCCCCACTCATGCCCAGACTCTAGAACAGTGCAGTTTTTTTTTTTAATATTTATTTTTAGTTATCGGCGGACACAACATCGTTGTTTGTATGTTATGCTGAGGATAAAACCCGGGCCGCACGCATGCCAGGCGAGTGCGCTACCGCTTGAGCCACGTCCCCAGCCCTAGAACAGTGCAGTTTAACAGCGCTCTCTGTGAAGGCAGAACTGTGCCCTGGCTGCGCTGCTCAATGTGTCCCCAGCCACATGTGGCTATTGCATACATGAAATATGGTTTGGTTCAGGTTTAAACAACCACAGGCCCAGTGCTACCTTGGATAGCACTGCCCTGGTGCATTAGAAGCAGGTGGTAAGAACTCAGCCTGGGGACCCCTTGGCCTGAGATAGAACCCTCCTCACCACCTATGGCTCTTGTGCAGGGACCTGAGGGCAATCTGAGACCCCTATAGGAGCAGATGTATGTTCTGTGCTCTGCCACTGGCTTGCTGTGTGGCCTCAGACAAGCTACTGTCCTCCGTGGGCCTCCACGAGGCCCCTCAGTAAACTGACGGGTTAGGGTTGCAGGAGTTGGGAAAAGCCTCCATGTGACTATGTGACAGCCTTGGAGGGCTGAATCTGCTGTAGCGGCCCCAGATCTGAGGACTGGGGACAGGGAACTGAGGGCAGAAGAGGGATGGTCTGGGGGCATGTGGAACACCATGCAATGATGATGGCACTTCATTTTTTTTTTTTTTTGGTACCAGGGATTGAACCTAGGGATGCTTAACCACTGAGCCACAGGGTCTCACTGAGTTGCTTAGAGATTCACCAAATTGCTGAGGCGGACTCTGAACTTGTGATCCTCCTGCTTCAGCCTCGGAGCTGCAAGGATTACAGATGTGTACCACTGTTTTATAGGGGCTGGGCACAGAGTGCTGAGGGCAGCATTTGGATTTGGTGGCTGATTTGGGGACGAGAGGCCTTTGATACTCTCACATCACACCTAATCTGCCTGGCCCTGGGAAAGTGCTGGTCAGTGGCTCTGGCCTGTGTCCAGACAGAACTTCCAGGACAAGGTGGCAGAAATGATGGCAGGAAGTGGGAAGATGTCAGAGACTGGGTCCTAAAAGATATCCAAAGCCTCCACTCACTCACCATTGATGTCCAGAAAGTCCTCCGCCATGACCACTGGCCCTTTGTCAATGGGCTTGCCCGAGCCATTGAAAACCCGACCTGAGTAGGCAAGTGGTGGAGGAGGATGTTGGGGCCAGCCTCAGCTCTCAGCCCCACACCACCCCCCTCCTATCCCCCACCTCCACTGCCCATGGCCCCCTCCCCGTCAACTCTCATTTATCCCAGAAAGCAAGGCCTTGGCCCAGCACAATGACTCTAGTTGAGGGGCTTCCAGGGCTGGATAAGGGGAAAACCAAGCCAGGTGTGGCAGATCTTGAGACTTAGGGGATATGCAGGGCTTAGCAGTCTCTTTCAGCCTGACCTCAAGCAGGGTCCTGCTTTCCTCATTATTGAACATTTGCTGTATGTGGGCCCTGAGACCAGGTCAGAACAGAGAAAATACAACCTTTAGCCTCCAAGAGCTCATGGGAAGGCAGATATGTGTACAGGCAATGACAAAGCCAGGCACTAAGGGTTTGGTCGGAGAAGCTGGGTTGGGAGGGTAGAGGGGCACCCACCCCTGCCCCATCCCCATCCCTCACCCAGCATGTCCTCTGACACTGGAGTCCGCAGGATGTCCCCTGTGAACTCGCAGGTGGTCTTCTGGGAATCAATCCCGGAGGTCCCTTCAAACACCTATGGGACAAAAGGTAGTTACTCTAACCAGGAGAGACTGGGGCTTCCCACTTCAGACCCTCCTAGAATGCTCTGCTCTGGTCAGGGTGTTCTCAGGCAGATAGACATTTGCCTGCTTCACAGCTGGTCAGATAGTGTGGGAACTTTGTCAGTTCATTCATTGACTCACTGAGCCCACTTACCTGTACAATGGCCTTGGTCCCAGCCACTTCAAGCACTTGGCCACTCCTCTGAGTCCCATCGGGGAGGGTGAAGTTGACTATCTCAGCATACTGGGCGAACTGGCAGGGGAGGAGAGCAGCCCAGAGCAAGAGTGAGACAAGGGCAAAGTCCATGCTACCTCCCCCATCCCTCCTTGGTCCAGTCTCAAGCTGCTGTCTGCACTATTATGGCCAGACACTCATGGAAATGAACTTGAGGGACTGGGAAGTGGACAACTAGATTCTTTCTGGGAGGGAGTATACCTGATGGTTAGGAGAAGGGAATCCGGAGTCAGAAGACCAGGTTAGAATCGAAACTCTGAAGCTTAATAGCTTTGGAACCTTCTGGAAGTTACCTAATTAAGTGACTCATTAAGTACTTAAGTCATTAAGTCATGAGCCTTAGTTTTTCTTATCAACGAGGGTGATAATATTAATACTTCACAGGGCTGCTGTGGGCAGGAAATGAGGCAATATTCTGCAAATTTGTTACCTTGGCACCTTTAAATGCTCAATAAAATGAAGTGGGGGGGCTTGGTTTGTGGCTCAGTGGTAATGCGCTTGCCTAGCATGCATGACGCACTGGGTTCGATTCTCAGCACCACATACAAATAAATAAAATAAAGGTCCATCAACAATTAAAAAATATAAAATAAAATGGAATAGCTATTGTGACCAGGTATTGTGACCACCCACGGCTGGAAAGCAGTGTTTCTGCTGCTGTAGACTAACGGGAAACAATGGCAAAGTGCTTCCCTGTGCTCAGGCACCAGAAAAGACCCTGTTTCCAGGAACTATATACCTACCTGGGGCCATCTTTTCCTAGCAGTGATTATGATTCACATGTATGAATCAGGACTTCAGGAATTTAAAAAAATCAGGCTAATTTCAGTAATATCTAAAGTAGAACACGCAGTGAAAATAATTTGATCAAAGGAGAAAATATACAAATGGACAATAAATACATGTTAGGATGCTCAACAGCTTTAGTCATTAGGGAGATGAAAACCAAAACCACAGTGAGGTACTACTTCATACCCACCAGGATGGCTAAAATCAAAAAGGCAGATAATAAATGTTATGACTCCAGATTCCCTTCTCCTAACCATCAGATAACAAGTTATGATTTCTTCACATCTTCAAAAGGGTCAACACAGGGCTGGGATTATAGCTCAGTGGGAGAGTGCTTGCCAGCATGAGCAAGGACCTGGGTTTGATCCCCAGCACCACACACACACACACACACACACACAAAGTTAAACATAGATAGAATTATCATGTGGCTCCAGTAATTTCACTCCCATGTATATACAGGAGAAATGAAAACATATGTCCAAATAAAAACTTGTAGATGAATGTTCATAGAAGTTTTATTCATAGCTGGGTGTAGTGGCACATACCTATAATCCCAGAGGCTCAGGAGGCTAAGGTAGAAGGATTGTGGGTTCAAAGCCAACCTCAGCAATTTAGCAAGACACTAAGCAACTCAGCCAGACCATGTCTCTAAATAATTTTTTTTTTTCAGTAAGGGCTGGGGATGTGGCTAAGTGGTTAACGTCCCTGGGTTCAATCCCTGGTACGGTGGTGGTGGAGGGGAGTAGTTTCTTTCATATTCATAAAAAAGTGGAAACAATCCAAATATCCATTAATTAATGAACCAGACAAATAAAATGTGATATATTAAAAGACCTGAACTCACTTTAAAAGAGGGAAGTTTATTGTATGTAAATGAAACTCAATTTTTAAAACTCCATTGGGCTGTCTCTCAGGGACACAGCAGCAGATGGGCAGTTAGAGATCTGCCCTAGGGAGTCCCCAAGCTCTGCTGTCTCTGTATATGCTGGGAACCACAGGGTTCCAGGCTTTCCCATGTCTAGGGAGGGTCAGGAGCTTGGCCAGGGAAGCTGGCTGGAGGAGTACACCCTCCACATTCTCACAGGGGTCCAAGAACCAAAAGAGCCAAGTCCTGTATCTGCACCTCCAGCCCAGAGGAGGACATGGAGTGAGCGCTGCGTCCCAGGAACCCCCACCTCACCTCCCATGTGGCTGGTTTAATTCAGGAAGTGAACCATAACCTTAATCCAAGAAAAGCAATGGTAGAAAGATAATACCCCTGCACCATTTGCTAATATTCTGTGAAATTAAAGTGCTTTTCTAAATTACTCCTTGCAAAATCAAAACCAAAGTGACAGATTATCTAAAAAAGAATGGAAAGGATATCATCATGCCGTGATCTATAAACTACATGAAGCTGAACCATGTTCTCTGACCCTAATCAATGTAAGTTAGAAATTGGTAACAAAAAATAGAAAAACCTTATCTGTTTGAAAATAAAAGCATTTTAAGTATAGAGGATCTGATCAGAATTAGAGAATATTTGGTAATGCACAATAATGAAAATTATGGGGCTGGGGCTGTAGCCCCAAAATTATGGGGCTCAGCGGTAGAGCACCTGTCTTGGCACATGTGAGGAACAGGGTTCGATCCTCAGCACCACATAAAAATAAATAAATAAAGATATTATGTCCGGGGCTGGGGATGTGGCTCAAGCGGTAGCGCGCTTGCCTGGCATGCGTGCAGCCCGGGTTCGATCCTCAGCACCACATACAAAGATGTTGTGTCCGCTGAAAACTAAAAAATAAATATTAAAATTCTCTCTCTCTCTCTCTCTCTCTCTCTCTCTCTCTCTCTCTCTCTCTTTAAAAGAAGATACTATGTCCATCTACAAATAAAAAAATATATATAAAAAGAAAATTATGCTTCAGCATACGTGTGAGGCATTTGAAATTTTAAGGGTTTTTATTAGAAAAGAAACAAGGTTGAAGAAATCTAAAATAGGCAACGTGAGCCAGTGGTGGCACACATCTGTAAATCCAGTGAGTAGGGAGGCTGAGGCAGGAGGAGCTTAAGTTCAAGACCAGCCTCAGGAATTTCGTGAGACTCTATCAAAACAAAAAATAAAAAAGGCTGGAGATGTGATTCAGTGCCCCTGGCTTCAATCCCCAGTACCAAAAAGCAAACAAACAACAACAAAAACAGCATTAAAACCCCATAAGAAGTAGAAGAAATAATAAAAGGGCAGAAATTATTAAAATATAAAACAAACATGTAATAAGGAAGAACAGGAAAGCCAAATTAGTACTTTGAAAAGTCTAATAAAATTGACTAATGGAGCAGGGTGCAGTGACACACACTTGTAATCCCAGCAACTAGGGAGGCTGAGCAGGAGGATAGCGAATTCAAGGGGTCAGTATCAGCAATTTAGTGAGCCCTGTCTCAAAATAAAAAGATAAAAAGGTCTGAGGATGTGGTTCAGTGGTTAAGCTCCTCTGGGTTCAATACCCAGTTACCTTCTCCCCAAAATTAATTAAGAAAAAAAGAAAAGCCACAAATAAATAAATAAATAAATGTTGGAATTAAAAAAAATTATAACCAGCTACGCTGATAATATTAAAGAGATAATAAAAGGAATTTTGAAAAACTTCATGTAACATATTTAAAAATTTAGATGCAATGAGTGAAGTCCCAAAAGATCACAACTCAAATCAAAACCAAATAAAAATGAATAAAAAGCCAGGCAGGGTGGCACATGTCTATAATTGCAGGAGGCTGAGGCAAGAGAATCCCAAGTTCAAGGCTAGCCTGGACCACTTGGTTAGAGCCTGTCTCAAAACAAAATAAAAAGGGCTGGAGCTCAGTGATAGAGTACCTGGGTTCAATCCCCAGTACCACATAAAATGATCATTATGCGGTCATGCTAGGTGTGTGTGGGGTGGGGTACTGGGGATTGAATCCAGTGGTGTTCTACCACTGATCTCCATCTCCAGCTCTTTTTATTTTGATACAGGATCTCACTAAGTTCCTAGGGTCTAAGATGCTGAGGCTGGCATCAAATTTGATCCTATAATTTTTAAAATATTGAATAAATAGTTTAAAGTGTTCCTATGAAAAAAAGCACCTGTCTCAGATGGTTATACCAGTGAATTATAACAGAGAAAAATAACTTCAAATTTGCTAAAGCCCTTCGAAAGCCTGGAAGAAAAAGCACTGTATTCATTGTTAGAGGCAAGCATAATCTTGATACCAAAATAAAATAATTATAAGAAAATTGTAGGCAATCTCATTCATGAATATGGATTCCCAAATCTGAAACTAAATATTATCAAACCAAGCCCAGCAGTGTACAAAAAAAGACCAAATTACAAACCAAAATAATAATATTTTTTTAAAAAAATGAGCTGAGTATGGTGGTGCACGCCTGTAATCCCAGAGGCTCAGGAGGCTGAGGCAGGAGGATGGAGAGTTCAAAGTCAGCCTCAGCAATGGAAAGACACTAAGCAATTCACTGAGACCCTGTCTCTAAATAAAATACAAAAAAGGGCTGGGGATGTGGCTCAGTGGTTGAGTGCCCCTGAGTTCAATCCCTGGTACCTCTTCCAAAAAAAAAACAAACAAAAAACGAACACACACACACATACACAAACAGATAACAAATTAGGATTATTCCAGAATTCAAGGTTAGTCTAATATTAGAAAATCTATTAATGTAGTTCATCTTACTAATGGATTAAAAGATGAAAAACTATGATTATTGAGAACATTTTGGAAAAAGTTTAAAAACTGTCAAATTTTTAATAATTATAAATGAAAAGTTTAATAATTACAAACAAAAAGCAAAGAACAAAACAACTGTTTGAAAACAGGGAATAAAAGGGAATTTTCTTAATCCCCAAATGAATATTGTTTGAAAACCTTATAGGAAATAGCTACTCAGTGATTTGATGGATAGAGCATTCCCACTAAAACGAGAAGCAAAACAAGAACACCTGCTGTTATCCTTCCACCTAGTACTGGGCTGGAGCAATGGCCAAGAAGAATAGAACCAAAGCAAGAACAGGGAAAAAAAAATGAATGATGATTAGAAGGAAACAGAACTATCTAATGGGAAGCTCAGTGACATGAGAATCCAATGAAGATAGTACCAAAAGAGAATCATTGACCAATTTCTCTAATTAACATGGATGCAGAAATACTAATTAAACTATTAGACCAATCATACAGTGTATCAAATAAATAAACCA